GTAGTATTGATTTTTAACATCACACGTGCAAATCTTTGCAGGCGTTAAGCCACCGCCACTATAGGTATGTTTGCTCGATCTTCTTATATCTGAGGTTGAAGAGAGAAATATGTAGCTCCGTCGTTCAACACGAATCGTTTAGTTCAATTTTTTTACAGTTACTTAATTATCATGGTATGCAATTTACCTAATTTAAACATTAATTATAAATATAATAAATATTCCGTTTATTTAATTTTTATAATAATAAAACAAAATAAAATAGATTAATGTCTTATTTAATCCTTTTGTCATGTATTTCTTGATTTGGCTATTGAATTGTTTTTTTGTGAAAATTGTAAAGGATTTTGATTAAACTAAGAACGAAAGGCACATAAGCAGTGTGCCTTCAACTGTACTTAAGCGTGATGATAACTATAAAATACAATACTTTTTGATTTCGATCAATGATCACGAATGGTAAATCCCGATTATCACATCTAACACATCTACGTAAGTTATTAAAGTTAACAAACGCCTTCAATAGTTTTTGTATATGTTAACATCAAGGTTGATTGTCAGACATGTGGATTGATGTAATATTTATATAAACTATAAAAAGCACATAAACGTTTTAGGATTCGGCTTTAGATTTAAATAAACATATCCAAATAGAATGAACAAAGATTACGTCACGTGATGATAAGTGATAAGTAGCTAACACATTTGTTAATCAAGGCATGATCAAAGATTTCTTTTAAACTAAAGTTAAAAAAAACATCTGGTTAAATAAATAAAAGAAAGAAAAAGTTGTGATTACTCTGTGATATAATGTATAGATATTTGACTGCACGGATGGCGTAGTGATTAGCGGTCCCCTCGCGGTTATCGCTTCGTACTACACTGAGTGTTGTGGGTTCGATCCCCAAGTGGGACAACATTTTGTGTGATCCACAAATTGCTGTTCTGAGTCTGGGTGTTCTTTGTGTCCGTTTAGATGTATGTTTGTAAAGTTCCCAGTGAAAATGAATATATTCCTAGTGCGGGATATGCTTTTAAAAGAAATGGATTCATTGCAATTTTAGTCTAGTTATTGAGAAATCTTAATAGTAATTTTTCAATTATATCTAAAATAAAGTAAAGTAATTATCATAACCTTGCACATATAAATAAGGATAGCTAAAAACACAGGTTCTACAGAATCATCAATTGGTTGGTTTGAAGTTATAACAAGCATCGCGAAAGTCCAAAACTTCATAAAATCACATGAATTAAAAAAAACACCACGGTGTTCTTTAGAATTGACATATTACTATATTCATTTATACATAGAGATATATAATACATAGAGGTAAAGTTTGTGAGTAAGATGTATTTTGGGGAACCGCAGAAACTATTGGTTCTGGTACTGGTATTTTAGTGTTGAATAGCCCTTTTATCAAGGAAGGATAAAGGCTATCATCATGCTACGACTAATAGGAGCCGTGTATAAATGAAAACAAACAAACTTATTACTTTTTTGAGATGCAGACGAAGTTGCGCGGGTTCATAGTGTGGTGAAATCATACATCATGCCTAATATACTCGTGAGCTTCTGTTTATTTAATTATGTATTTTAAACTTTTAGGTCTCTTTCTTCTTCTTTATTAAGCTTCTTCTACATAAGACATAACCATCTAGATTTTGAACTACTCTTACAACAAATTAAACGACGTCACTTTGACAAACATCAAATTCCTAACAAATCCGTTCAACTTTGGTTGTGAAATAATGTCAAATATTACCATTAAAATTTTAGTTCCTCGCGTCACATTGTGATGGTGGTAGCAAGTTTGATAGACAGCACGAAAATTGAGTTGCACCAACTTTGTAACATTAAACACTTGAACATTGATAGTTTGACAGGGCTATATTGAGTTTAACCTCGGTTTTGTTTAGAGAAATTAATTATGAAAATTAAAGGAATACCCATTTAAAAACTGGAGCAGTTCAGCGACCTATAAATAACATGTAAATTACTGTAACAGGACAATTGCTCTACACTGGGACCCAGCTTGTTAAACTCGTGTATTTTTAGGAGGAATGTTTGTTTTTAGGTTATACACATTTTACACATAAGTTAGCCTAGAAACCAATATTTTCTATAAAATAAAATTATGATGCCAGCACCGGCCCTCGTACGCATGTTTAAAGTTCCATCTTTACTTCTTTATTTGGTCTGAGGGTTATAGTGTTAGTTTTGCATACGTAGTCTACTAGTTGCGAGTCCGAAGGTACATAGAACTATTTTTGCTATATATTTTAGCTATATTGCTTGTATGTCAACGAAAAAATTGCTATGAATTATAAATTTTTCAACACCTTCTATTCAAACACACAAGTTTCTATTAATTTTAAGTTCGGTGTAGACATTTCTAACTGCCTTATTTTATAAAGATAAAGAAGACTATGTATATACATAGGTTTTAATATAGATTACCTGGCTATTATTTCTTATCGGCTGTGTTGGAAACACACATCGGTATTGAAATCAAATTCGAGTGTTGAGAACGGTCTTCTAATTTAAATATGCTAATATTTTTATATTTACATTAATATTACTAGGTATCCTATTATTATATTATTTTTTGTTATATCGGGCTGTACTGTTATTGATATAAATTTGTAAATAAAGTATCCCATTATTCGACACTCCAAAATAACGCGCACTCTTAAACATATTACTAAAACATAAATTGTTTAGACTGGTACTCTTCACAGATTACCATCACAAAGCACTTCAATTAAAAAGATGTAGATCTAGAATATAATAGAATACTAAATCTTTCCTCATAATTGTGTGTTAAAACTATAAATGAGTCGCATACCACAAATAGTTTGATCACTTATTACTGTGACAGATACATCCTAATTGGTGAGCAAGTGACCCTAATTGTTGTAGATAGACGAGCTAAGATATCATCCCATTATAAATAAATACTGTATGAATTGAGTGAGGTGTTCCTCACTCAATCCATACTTGTCTGTGAATAGGGTGTTAATTCTTTATTAAATTCGTAAAAATTGTAATTATATTAAATTTATTGTAAAAATTTAAGTATTTGTGTGTGTTGTTGTTGTGTGTTTTGTTATATAATATAGGTTTTGAGTAGTATTCATTTAAATAGTTTATTATTATTAAGTATACTTCTCTTTGTTTTTTTTTGTTATTAGTTTACACTACTACATTACAGGAAATGCTATGTACAGCGTAATTGTCATACATATCTGGTATAATGCTACATATTGTATGATGTGGTAGTACTTATTAATTAAATAATAAAAAGAAATAAATGGTTATTTCTTTGTTTACCTTGCATTTACATACATCCTATTCATCCTACAACTCTATGCTAGTACGGGAAATGAAAGTGCAATTTAACAGATACTTTTTGCCAACTCCAATATTTTGGTTTCACTCACCTACACTCACTCACATAGGGATCAAATTTTATAAATTAAAGACGGCAAAATTGGAAATATATTAAGCACGCCAAGTAGGTAAAAAGCAAATGCAATAAAAGGTAAGAAATATTACGTTTAATTTCAGATGAATTGAGGAGAACACTCCTCAATTCGCAAGGTGAATGTTCGTCAAGCAACATCTCTAACCGTCCCGATGCGCATACCGGTGATTTAAACTGTCTGTTGCCACGAAGTACAAGCCTTCTTACTTAACCTTGTAGGTATGCTACCACGTAATTGTAAGTGCATAATAATACATACCATAAGAATACACCAACAACTACCGGTTATTCGTACCAACATAATTAAATATCAATGTAAGGATTGCATGATATAAATCGCTTGAAGTGATAAGGTTGCTTCCTTTTTGTAACTCTAAGTTACTCGTATTTAAAAAAGTATTTTACTATGTACTATTATAAATACTATATATATACTATATATATATTATTATCATCGGATGTTTAGGTGGTTGTTTGTATCTCAATCACGCCAGAACAGCTTACCAGATGTGGATAACATCGTGATAGATATTTTGAAATAGCAGATATGCACTTGTTATCCCGGTGAAAATGATTTTTATAATCGAGATCAAACGAAACAAAGCAGAAACTAATAATAAAACAAACAAAATTAGTTAAATTCAATCATTCTGTCTTTCGCATTGTTATTATCGAGTACCGCAAAGAGACAATAAAAATATAAACCAAGATCATTGTCTATTGAAGCGGGGAATTGACCTGCATCATCGCAAAATTATTAAGAACAGAATTAGTTAGGCCTTGGCTGTGCCATTGGCACATGTAACAATCACTAAATTCTTATTTACAAATAATTGTAGGCTAGCTTTTTCCAGCGGCTTCACTCTTGTGTAGATTTTACCAATCAAATCACTTATCTATCCCTAAAGGTTTTTTTTCTGAAAATAATATACATATCTTTTTTTTCTGTTTTCCTGATAACAAGTCTCAAAAACACAAACTTACATTCTTATTTTTTTGTAAAACTAAATTTTTCCCGTGGCTCCATCCGTGTGTATACCGGTTAACGCGGTAAAAAGCCTAAAAAGTATATTCTTCCTCAAGAATCAAACTATCTCCATACCAAATTTGATCTAAATCGGTTCAGCAGGCGCATTGAATCGAATATACACTTTTATAATATTAGCATGGATTAGTATGAATATGATTGTGACAAGTATTTAGAAATGTATGTGCCCGGTAGACGACAATATTCCTGCCCCATATTAAGTGGAACTAAAATTATAGAAATATATGTGGGAGTTCAATACGCTTCTGTCTACCCCTTTGGAGATAAAGCTTGCACGTGCCTATGCATGTATGTACGTTATTTAGCATAGAAATGCACCTTGAATATAATTAATTTTAAATTAATAAATGTAGCTATCATCCATAAGCTAACGGGCTGAATTAAGGTAAAGTCTGTTTGTCATTATTAACTACTCACGAAAAAAGAGCGTAAATTAAAATTATAAACAAAAAAAAAGTAATGCTTACCATTAAAAACCAATGCCAACAGAAAAAAGCAACTAACGAAATTCTCCTTAATTTTGAAAAACATTTTCTTGTATGTAACAAAACACAAACAGTACAAAAATATAAAAGTTCAAGACTGACACATTCTGCTTTCGCGCTTTTTTATTCAAATTCAAAACTTTTGAAAAAAGAGTTGCATTCCAAATCGGGTAATTGTTTATGGCTCGAGTTGATGCGAACAAGGCTTGACACGACTGACGTTTGTGACTCTTTTACTGACACTGCGAGCTCGGAAATGGGACGTAATATTAAAGTATAAACATCACGTTTATTTTTAGAGTATTTGAACTCCTACATAATGGAATGTCATTACGTATACTACGAGTAGGTACTACATTTGATATTACTTGATATTACTTACTACATTGGTCTAAGAAGTAGATATAAATCTTTGTTTTTTTTTTAACACAATGTTGATGCTTATTTGAGCCCTATCCGCTTATTCGTTTTTCTTGCCTTAATGGGATGATATTTTGTATTTTTATTCTTGGGATATCTTCCCTTTTTAAACTAGGGGCTCTTATTACAAAAAAAAAATTCAATAGGCTGTGTGCTGTGTTCCCTACTTGCACAAATTGCTTCTTACTACTGAAATGAACGGCATTACGATGAGGGAGAACAATTTTTAGTATCTCAAAGGGTTATATAAAAGCATCAACGTTGATTAACCATGTTTGCGATGCGTTCAAACAATTAAATCCTTGTTAAGCTGCTCTTTACAAGAAAAGTAGAATAACGAAAAGAAATCATGACATTGAAAAACTATAATCGTTCAACAAATATATAAAATAATAATAAATATAGTAATTAAGGTTCGTGATGGAAAAATAAATTTTAAATCGAATTGAATTCCCGAGATATTTATAACATTATGTTTTCCGATTTTCTACAATTTGCCTAATTGCCTGAGTACAAAATGATCCTAAAACCAAATGCAAACATTGACAATATCAGTTCCAAACGAAAAGGGTCGCCGATTATTTCTGAACACATTGTCCAAACTTATTTGGAAATTCTATTTTCTTCCCTTTGAGTCCATTTTGGTCGGATCCACCCTAATTGTAGCAACGCTTTAACCGACAAAATAGTTCTCGAAACTGTTTACGTTAGAGCTGTTGTGTTAGGGCTTGTTGTCTTATACGTATGTCATGATGGTTTCGGTATATTTGCAATATATTACTATATAATACTTATATTTGTATATATGTTTAATAGTTATTGCTGATTGGTAATAGAACATACTTGTTCTGAACGCCAATCTAAACCTTTGTTAAATTCAGTCACATAATACATTTCAATTAACCTCAGTTCTCCTGCAATCTTTGTAAATTCTTCATAAGTCATATTGATTTTAGTCTCGTATTTAAGTATTACATTTATTTTATAGCCTGCCATGCTAAGTGAATTAGTTTGCCCGCTTAAAATGATTGTTAAATAAAAGGGTTTCAGCAAATTGAATTACGTATAGTTTAGAAATATTCTGTGGTACAGTCTGAATAGTGGCGATGGGAAGAAATCAGTGAATAAAGTATTTTTGTTAACTGATATTCTTGAAGAATTATTTAAATAAAGGTTTCAGAAAACTAGAACATACAAAATCTTAATTCCCTTTTTATTAATATTTTCTGAAATTAGTACAAGTGTTTCCAATATACCTGCTCGTGCTAACACTTAATAGTATTTTTGTCATTTTTAACGTTCACAGGTTTATGCATTATAACATGGTAAAACATTGCTTGATCGTGTCAATGTTTATAAGGTATTATTTACACTGTTGCGTATAATAAAATACGCCAATAGTGGTTGCGTTACTCCATATTGAGGGTTAATACCATATATTTATTTATTTAACTTACTGCACAAGTTGTACACAGGCGGACCTAATGCCCAAGGCATTCTCTGCCAGTCGACCTTCTGGTGATGTAGAAAAATGATGCTGTACGTGCAAGAGAAAACAGAGAATTTGACTTTTTTTATAAAATTTATTAATTTAAGATAAATCTAACTTACATGTATACACTATATACTATAAATAAAATACTATATTCATTACTACGTATATACGTAGAGATAGAGGTCTCAAGTATACACATAAAATACATGAACATACACATTTATAAATACATAAATATCAAAATACATAGTTGTGTATTAGCGTTGTGACCTTTTGTCAACTTATTTTGAAGAAGATCTTATACACATTTCATTGTCATTTTAACACACACACTATGTAGTAGATTGTGCACCGGTGTTATAAACTACCTAAAACTAATATTTTTGGCTTACGCTGAGCGATACCTTATTACACTGTAGTTCGGTCTATGATTAAATTTTAAATTGTCTCTGGAACTAATTAATATCTATCGTGTATATCTGTGCCTATGCTATTTCATGTTTTAAAGAGTTTTGTTCAATACTTGTAACTTCATAACACTATTTCATATGATGTAATTAGAAATAATAAATTTAGAAAGGGCGACATTAAAATTTATTGTTTAAGGTACTTTTTCAATTCACATAAATAAAGAATAATAAGTAAAGCGAAATATAATCTACACTACCTCGAACTACTTATAATACAATGCTGAAGTAATCGGCTTACACAAGAGTAGAGGTTAGATCACTTAAGGATGCCAAAACGTGACCTTGTGTGATCTCGCTTATGAGTAAACCCTTTGATGTGGTAATTTGCAAGCCTCTGGCTAAGACCGGTGAAACCAATGGAGCGAAACATTTACGATCACATTGGTACAGAGGTATAATTATTTAGTTGAATATTGATGTCTAGGATTAATTCATGTATGGATATAATATTATGTTATAATCTTGGGGCATTTTACATGTTGCTATCTGAACTCACACTAAACCGAGCTTGTTTTGTATGAGTTTCTAGAAACCGGTTCACCGTGGGAGAGTGATGTTTTGGCAGAAATGGGCCGGCTCTACTGGAGTGATACCACGGCCTCAGAGAAAACCAGTGTTAAGCTATTCTTTCCAGATATGGAACATATAAAAATAGTTAATGGAAAGTCTAAAAAGAGTTTCTATGCATTGAAAAGGATAAGTAAAAGCTCTGCGTAGAAAAGATAGAGTTTGTGAAATAATGAAATACAACACAACCTTTGCCCATCGATTTTTCTATTTTCAAGGAGCAAGTCTATATAATATAGTGAATAGAATTCTGTCAATCTATTCACTCAATAAATCAAGATACAAAAGTACAATAAAAATATGGCTTCAAAATCTTGACTATTACACTACAGAAAATATAATAAATAAATAGGAATATAACATATTTTTGCCCTTTTTACATTGATATTACAAATACGCACACACACACACACACAAACACACACACACACCCACACCCACACACACATTCATGCACAACTTGTAGGCAAAGAAAAAAAAAATTGTTCTCTTTACTTACCTTGCTGAACCATGTTGTTGAGTGGTACCGTATCTTAGCTGTCTTTTCAATGTGAAAATGATAATTGTTGTATTCAAATTGTCCAGGGGGGGACCTGGTGATCTGTAGGACAGGCTTATGCCTATGTCAGGCACCAGTTCCTCACATATACAGAAATTTATGTAACCACAACCCTAAATAGAATTGTACCATGAAGTTAAAATGTATATTGTGAGGAGAAATAAACTTTATTATTTTATATTATATTAATATATATTATATCAACTGCGACATGGGGTCTATCATTTAATACATTAAAGATCATATATGGAGCTACTTATTTAGGTTCTATGTGCTATGGTGCCAGGTGCACCGATATGGGCCGATAGGACGACCGTAGGCGCTGTCTGTCGCAAACTGTTACAAGGACGACCAACGACTTGCACTAATATTCTTGTGCAAGGCATATAGGACGGTTAGCACTGAGGCTTTGCCGGTGTTGGCGGGTGTGCTTTCGGTCGATCTCGAGGTGCAGAGACGTGCAGCCATGTACTATTCAAGACAACAAAACATGGAATGCGATTTTTTGGGCGCGCGGGAAAATTACAAGATTGCTTCAACAGCAGTCCGATGTCTATAATGACCTCATAGACGAATAGCAACAACGCTGGGACGAATCATCCAAGGGGCGCCATCTTTACCAATTCTTACCATCTGTTCGCGAACGGGTGTCGAGGACATGGCTTAAGGTGGATCACTGTGTCGCTCAATTTCTTACGGGTCATGGTAACTTTAAGAGCAAGCTGTATTCATTTAAATCAGTCGAGTCACCATTGTGTCAATGCTCAACACCTAACTCTCGCTATGAACAGTCTGCTCATGATATCCTCTGGGAATGTAGTCTTTGGTATAATGAACGTAATGTAATTCTGAATAGCTTGCAGGTGACAGCTGGGGCGGTATACTGTTGGGATCTTGTGTTAACTAGGGTCAATTTCCGTGCATTTAGGCGATTCTGCTATACATATTATAGAAATCAAATATAGCTCACCTAGGACCCGTAATATTTTGTGGCCGTGGTGCTTCCCTGTTTAAAAGGGTGTATGCCTATTTTACTTCATTTTGTCTCCCGCTTAGCTAAGGAGGGAAGTGAATTTACTGTATTTCCAACTCCTCCAATTTTCTTCTGATTAATTTCGTTGCAGGTTCCAAGTTTAATTTCTTCCTGGGACTTAACGAGTGTCATAACTCGGTGTGTTCGTGGGTCACTGCTGCGGATCCTGGTGTACAGGAGTTACAGTGGTGGGCGTGTGGGTGGGTTTAGACATGGGACAAAATCACAGTGAACTGTGATTTATCATTAGATTTTTGCGTACGTAGGTTACAGTTGCTAGATAGGAAGGTTAGACGCTATTTAACAGTAAATCTAGTTTTCTTTTTAATTACTAGATTTACTGTTAAATAGGCGAAATAGGGTCTTTATGCATCGTCGGAAAACAGCTTATTGGCAATAACGCAAGCAACAACCTACGTACGAAAAAAACTAATTATGAATCACCGGTCTTTCACAGTTCACTGTGATTCTGTCCCATGTCTAATTCTTTCGTTGTTCTTCA